GCAGGAATGGCAGAGGTTTGCCCCAGCGAGAGGAATAAGAGTGGCAGAACTCTCCAAGGGACGAGGAGGAGGATGAGGAAGAAGGAGACTGTTGGTTTCAGATACCAGCAGGATGGCTAGCTAACCCACCTCACGCAGCCCAAATCCACAATGGCACAAGGATAACCTGCCACCACTGAATCTGAGGCCATGCCAGGACCAGCCTGTCTCGTGCAAACAGCACGTGGGTTCATCCAGCCTTAAGAGTGCCACTGTATTTTACACATGAGTTTGTGGAACCACGGAGAATTGGGTCCTAATCCTGGTTTCAGCCTCTAGGTAGTGCCACAACCACATGTCAAGGGAGCAAAGCAGATAGATGAACAAGCACTTCGCTACCAACTCAAAGCAACAAAACAAAATCCTAATTCTGTGCTTCTCTCAGAAACACCTGGAAACATGCATTGTAAGGTTTATTAGGAAAGCTGGGTTTGCTAGTGCTGACAGAAAGCAAACATTGAGCATCTTCCTGATAAAACTTTACCAGAGGGGCCCTATGAAGTCCCATCAAAAACTGTCCAGAAACATTAAGGCTCTTCTTAGCATGTTCCAGACATTATCCAGAGAAGCCTAAGACAACTAGACTCTTAGGCTCCAGTTTCCCAATCAGCTTAAGCAGCTTTAATTAAGGCAGTCCTGCAGCAAGACAGACAACTACCTGGAAATAAATCTGCCTTTGGCAGCAACCCACACTCAGGCTGTCTCATACTCATGATGAAACATGGCCTTGAAACTGAGAATCCCCCCCTTCACCTCCCAAGTACTTTGTCCCCTCAGAGGCATATGTAAGGCAGCAGTATTATCTGCAAGGCAGAATAATAAAGAGCCTGAGCAAGTAAAAGATGTAATTATGGCATATACTAGCCTTTCCCAGCAACTTTAACACCCCACCCATCTCTTCTGACTATCCCCTGAAACGATGAAAATTTCTCTAGAAAGATGCATCAATCACGAGGGAGGGAAAAAAAAAGTTGCTAGTCAGGACAGAAAACAAGATTGAAGCTAAATAGCTTTATGTCATGGCTGCAGATGTGTGAAAAGTGCCACCTGCAACCAACAACTAGGTCATGTCTTGCAAAAGCACACTGACTTTTCCAGCATACCTGCCTCAACATCACTCCAGGACTAGCATGACATATCTGAGGGCAAGGATGCCACAAGGAGGTAAGGCACATGGATTTGATATCTACATGCCGTTTCTGGGGTTGAATACACACCTGCCTTCAAACACTCAGAACTCCTTAGTAGGAAACATGTATTCAAAGCCATTGAACAAGGAATACCAAGACACCTCCCAGTCAGTTGGGTGCTCTGAAGGACTGGATCTCAGAACTGATGCAGCTTGGCTACTGGACAGATGCAACACTAGCAGCAAAGACAATAGGATTTAAGTCCATAGATGTGGGAGATGCAACTGCAACAGGCCTTCTGCATCTGCTAGCAACACCTGTTAGATCTGAGTGCAGTCCTCTCATAGGGATGGGATGTGGGCCTGGCTCCCACCTCTTCTTTGGGATTTTTCAAAAGGTACAGTGGGAGATGCCTCAAAAACTCCAGAGCTGTGGAGCCTTAGCAGACCTAGCCATCACCCTGCACCTTCTGGGACAGATGGGAA